TTGGAGTTGTTGGTCAGACCGTACTCCAGGCCAATGTAGAGCATGGGTAAGTGACACCTGAGTGAGAAAGAGCAGGAGACATCACAACAAGCTTCTCTTACCTTATTCTTTAAAAACACTACAGAAAAATCAGTGATTAAAACCCTTTAACAGGAATGGTAGCCTTAAAAATGTAGATTTTGTTTTAACAGAAAATGTTTTACAGCCACTTATAATTTAAACAAATGATAACTTCTTAAATTTTACTTTGCTTCTGGAAACGTTCCAAAAATCAAGATAATCAATACTTGTGCTTGCTTCTTTTGCAGATGTGCATGTTTTTATATTGTTGCTCTGGAAACACATGTCACAATCAAACACTTGTGACAGGAAAGAAAAAAAAAAAACATTCACAGAATAGCAACATTTCATTTTAGCTGAAAGTTTTATTAGATGAGCATTAAACTTAAGGAAAGGCTACGTCTATGACATTTTTGGCAGCAGGCTCTATTCCATCATAAAAAAGTAAATGCTGCTATATTTCTCCCTGTCATCGTTTAATGTGTCAAACATTGAGCACAAAATGAATCTGTCAAAGCAAAATTTGTGAGCTGGTGATGTGGAAATGTGTAGTTTTAATGACCGACAGCATGTGACTGCAAAATCTACATTGTTCGTTTATCTTGTGATATATGTCAAAATCCATCTCGTTTCACTTCCTGTAAAACAGTTTCAACGCATAATTCATCCTGCACTCAGGGGTACTTACTCATGCTGCATCCAGTAGTAATGCTTTCTTAAGTTATTAACTTTCTCCATGTGATCTATAAATACATCAGTTACTGATCGCGTAGGCGAGAAGTCCTCAACAACCGACAGCTGTCGGTTGTGACTTTTTATGTTGAGTTACTGTCAAACCAGGCGCAGGGGCGTAACACACATTCAGCGGAATTGTCCAACGTAAGCACCAATCAATATCTGTGACATTTCCCTCCTATGGTTTGTGCAAGCTCTAAAAAGACTCACATTTGGAATTAGAAAATCCAGGAAGTGTCAATCATGTACCTACCCTTTCATCAGCTGAGCGGCAGTAAAGTAGGCAGCCATGGCTTGATCATGCTCACTCTCCACTGCAAATGAATGACCATAGGCAATCCATGCAGGACCATAAGTTCTCTCCAGAGTGGTGGCTTTGCTACAGGAGATATTCAATATCCAATATGTATAAATGAACGAAAATGTACAACCATAATCTGGCCTCAAACAGAAACTTAATTTTGAGGATATCAATGCATACCTAAGGTATCGCCTGGCGTGTTCGTTTTTATGGCCAACCATGAGATAGTAGCACCCAACAGCAAACCAGGACACCTGACAAAAAAATAGTGTTTGGTTATAATAAACTGGGAATTAATCTTAATGGGATAAATAGATTAAACTGCAGCACTTACTGGGTTGTTGGGATATAAATCTACAAGTTTGTGTGAGAGGTAGAACAACTCTGCAAGTGAAGAAAAACAAACAAAAAGCTTAAACAGAGCAGAACAAAAGGTTTCACCATCAGTCTGATGAGTACAAACCAAAAAAAAAAAAATGATGTGGTTGGTTGATTTTACCATTTGCTTTTCCAAGCTCCACCAGAGTTCCTATGTGGACTGGTAAACAGTTGGCATGGAATGGGTCTTTAACCATCACCCTGAAATAAAAAACAAAACAGAGATGCATTCAATTCAATCTCATTTAGAAAAAAATATCTATATACATTTTGAGGTAAACTAAAATACGAGCTTCCAGGTGCAACCAGTTCTATTCACACAAAATATACACTTGCAAAAAAGCAACATCTGCTACAATATGAATGAAATGACACATTTGAATAGTCTGACTGTTAGACCACAATAACTCGACAGATGTGTGTCTGACGAAACTCCTTTCTTATGTTGCAGTAAGTGAAGTATGATGTGTTGGTAAAGCTGTAAAGTCAAGTAAGCAACATCTCGTCTACACAGCTGAAATACATCTTTATCGTGTGATGTTAGAATATGATATTTATACATTGATACAGGCCCCACATGTCCAGAGAATTAATTTCTAAATCATATGCAGAACAACTAAGATATAAAACTACATCAGACACCTACATTGATGTGAGTTTGTAGCACATCTTGAAATCACAGTTATAATAATGCCTCTCTGCGAGAGACACCACTACATCCAAGTTGTCCTGGAGACCATTGACCATCTCTGGCACCACCAAATCACTGGGCTTGTTATACTGCAGAGAGAAGAGGGAGAGGGTGTGTGTGTGTGTGTGTGTTAATGTGTGTAAAAGGTTAAAGGTTTAACCAACCTAATAATTTAGGTAATTGGGAAAATTATAATAGCAAGGTCCGAAGAGGGCACATATAGGTGATACGTTTTAAGACAGTTGGAGAAAAACAAGCCAGAATAACACTGATATACATCTAAGCAACACGGGCAATATGCATGTTAGTGTCAGTTTATTGTTGGTTTTCCTCAGATTTATTAACAATGTTAAAATAGCACTGGCCATATATTTAAGTTTAATGATAAATGCAATATTTTGAGGACTCAATTTAGAGCTTCCCTACCTTCTTTAACTTATTCTCAAAAAGGAAGTGTAACAGTTCCTCCTCTTCCGTTGTGCACTGTTGACTCAGAGGAAGGGAGTCAAGAAAGTCTTTCTCTGTTGAAAAATTAAAAACATGTTTTGCATAGATTGCTGGTTTCTGACATGGTAAATAAAAGGTATCTGCGGAAATGCAAAAGTTCAGCGAACATCACTGGCACAGATCAGCCTCACCTTCCTGTGCAGTCAACATGTGGTGGGACGTTAAAAGGTCAAAGGCTTCAAAGCAGTACACATCCAGTTTTAAGGCCTCTTTGTAGCTGGAGGTGGCCAGTGGTCTGTTGTCCATGGCATCATAGATCTTACCCCGCAGGAGGCAGATGGAGCTATTGATCTGAAACATTTCAGAGAGGAGTGTTGTGCTTTAATCTGTTTTGGGGAGACTGAAAACATAAAAAGAGTGCAACAAGTATTTAATTTATTTCAGTATTTCAGCGGCAGGCCAGACTTACAGAGGCAGGGGACATGTCCCAATCCTTCGCTGACTCTGGCATCCCACTGTCCTCCTTCATACTCCTGTCCAGCAGTTTCTTACTAGCTGGCTCCTCCGCGTCCAGAATATCCAAGGCTTGTTGGAACTCTTTGGCAGCATACTGAAAAAAATAAATACAAATAAATATCTAGAGACGAATAATATCTAATTATATCCAGCAATTAATAAACGCGTAGAAGAGGTTATGCAGTAGTGGTGTTTTTCATTTACTCACATGGCACCTAGCAGCAAGGTACTGACAAGCTCCGTACAACTGCGTGAGAGAGGACAGCGTGACTGACATTACACAGTAATCAATCCTATTATAATCAAATTCACAGCTCATTGCTTTGCACATATCAAACTTTCACCCTTCATTCGTGCACTGGATTAAATGCATTTATTCTGTTGTCTATGCAGGAAATCTGAACCAGGCTTTCTGTTATTACCTTGTCAAGTTTCCGTGAGCGGAGAGCATGGGAGGCTCTGTGGTACTGTGAGGTCAAGTAAAGGCACTGAGCTAGCCAGTAGATATCCTGGGGATCCTCTGTAAAGCAAACACAGGGGGGGAGATCCATCAGTCTCTGACGTTACAGACATCGAGCTACACAAAAACACAGCAGCTGTAATCCGGCATCAACACAGGTAAAACTAACATCTATTTCCGGTGATTATATTTAAAAAAATAACAACCCAGAGAATAAAAGGTTCCACTAACACAACACCAGCCCTGCTAGCATTAGCTTTTCCAACTTTAAATGACAGGTTGGTTAGTAGCCCTCGTACCAGCTAGTGATGAACAGCAGAACTCACCGTGGGAAAGAGAAGCTATCTTGTCGGCCCAGAACAGAGCACTTTGATACTGTTGCTGGAAACACACGAACAATGAGAGGAGAGTGTCACCAGACTGAGTTCATTCAACACAGACACGCAGGGAAACTGTGGAGGCTCGTCGCCACTGACGCCAGGTTCGCTCGCAAGCTAGCATTAGCCGGCTAACACAGGAACTCGTAAAGAACGTGTTATTCTCACCTGGTCGATGTACTGACGCACCCGCTTCCGAAGTCTGTCGAGATTCATGTTGTGTTTTAAAAAGCCGACAGCCTGACTATAAGAACCGTGTCATTCTTAGGAGAGAACGGTGAACACGGACAGTGCTAGCTCGTTAGCTGCGGGGAATCAAATCCGCGGCTTCTTTCTGCGCCGGGTGTTCTGGCAAACTGTGTCGGAAGGAAACTAGTCGCGGAGAAAGGTTCCGCATTGACCGAAAACTCTTTTTCAGTGATGCCACATGTTTGTCAAGCTGCAAAACAAATTTACAAAAATAAACACAAATACTGGGATTTGATTCAGAGGTTCAGTGTGTGATATTGAAGTGAAAGGGATCTATAGGCAGATAGTTAATATAAAATAATCCTAGTGATGTTTTCACTAGTGGTTAATCTGTTTAAATCTGCCATGCGTTTTTTTTTACAGTAGTGCAAACTGGACAAAGTAAACCTTTTGAGTTTTCATGACAACTGAAGCTACCCCAGGTTCTCGCTCATGTTTGCAACTTCACCACTAGAGGTCACTAAATTCTACACATTTGACCTTTAACCTTTTTTTTGTTGTAGTTAAAGAAATACTGGACAAAAAGCAGTACAGCCCCACTGTTCCCTTATGAAGCCACAACTAATTTGCAAAATGCTCGTAGATATCTGTTCCCTAAACATGCTTGATTTCTCTCATCTACATCAATTGTTCTCTGAGAAATCAATGGAAAAGAGGAAAATCTCACAATGAAAAAAAAAATCCTGGATCCACAAAAACATTTAATTCTTTTTTGTCGACCCATTCAGCAAAATACAACAAATACACAAAACATACAACAAACATGTGTTTCAGATGTGTGGGACATTTCAGATCCACCAGGAGCTACGGACTTTTCAACAGTGTGTGGTTGTTTATTTCTTTATCTCTTGTAATTCTAAGTAGCCTGAGAGGATCCAGGACTTTCAGGCATATCTGCTGAGGTGGATTTCCCAGGCACATCTGCATCAGGGTCAGGGTGTTTATCTGTGTCCTGCTGATTCTCTGTTCCTGTATCTTTTGTCTCGCTGGTTCCTTTTTTAATTTCATTTCCCCCAGATGTTGTCTTGGCCTTTGTTTTGTTGCTTGCAGGGCTGTGTGTGGTTGCATCTGTGTTTATCTTTTGCTCTTCGTCACAACCACTGCTTCGCTTGCTGGGTTTGTCTTGCCCCTGGTGTTGACACAGAAAATTAATTCTTTATTATGGTGCAAAACAAAGGTCACAATACAGTTTAGGAGGGGATTTTAATTATCATAACACATTATATTTAATGTATGGATTGTGCTCAATAACCTTTTGCATCTTTGCTCCTCCTCTTGGGTACAGTGCGATGCTGTCCATCAACTTGAGTGTTTTGAGCCAGTCATCATGCCAGCTCCTGACATTATAGTGAGGCCTGCACTGGCTCAGGTGGAACAGGATCATTTGATTCTCCTCGGTGATACGGATCAACTCCAGCTGTCGCTTCTCTTTGCCAAGGCTGCAATAACAAGCAGAGCACAGGCTGTACAACTGGGCTTTTCAAATATGTCTTGGCAAAACAACTTCAAATCTGTGTTTCACCACAACATGGATGGTTTTGCCGTGAACCCCAAAGCCTAACTGACCTTTTCTTGTCATAGTTATTTCTGTTGTCAACTCCTCCAGTCGTCCTCATGATGTGTGAGATTTTTTCCATGAGCATATTGTTTTCCTGCTGAATCCTCAGTGTCCTCTCCTCTTCAAGCTTAAATAGAAAAATGATGCTGATTTACACAAGAGGGACGACCTCGTTACTGCATTTTATCACTGCATGTGTTTTATTCTGAATAAAGGTTGGATACGATAAATGGTGGTAATCATTTTCTATCATTTTTTGGGTATGAAACTTTACTTGATGGTATCAGCACTGAAACGTCTGCTGCCAACGTATGGACATGAAGTGAACTGAGTTAAAAACATGAGAAATAAAGAGGAACCTGTTGTTTCTTCAGCTTCAGAGTCAGGTGACTATACGTCTTTGGTGGAGTTGTGTTTATTGTTGATTTAGCAGATTTTACCTTGGGAACAAAAACAAAGCAAATTAAAAAACATAAGTTTTGGCACACACACAAACAGGGTAGACAAAAATCAATTAGATTAGATTGCAGACAAAACAAAGAAACTGTGATAAACCAAAAAAAACAAAAGGCATGTGACTCCTGACCTTCCTCTTGTGCAAGTCATATGAAGCCTTATCAAATTTCTGCTGAAGTAATTGGTTTCCAGTTGGATATGGGGGTGGATGTGTTAGATTCTGCATCATAGTCCTGTAAATAAAAGACATATGACAAAGTTATATAAAGCTCGCACCCCAACCACAAACAGAAGCACATGTGTTTTCATGGTGTGTTGTTCTGTTTAAGTGTTGTGAATGAATCATTGCTCCAACACTTGTGCGTCTCTGACTCACCTCACAGTCGGTAGCTGCCCCTGGGGTCTCAATATCATAACTCCTCATCTGCCCAATGTGTGTTCATGCTCTAAAACCGTTCCAGGTCGACTGGGGCTCGACGACGGGTCTGTTTTCTGCCAGTCATACATGGTTGCCATGACAGCAGCTGCAGCGAGCGGACATGAATGAATGGTTTCAAACGATGAGCTTGTTTAGTAAGAACCACACAGAGAAATGCATTCAGGCATAGAGACAGGCTAATTAGCGAGGGCACTGCGAAGAGAGAGAGAGAGGCTGCAAAAGAGCAGCAGCTCTGAGAAAATTCAAATTGAGTTTTAAACCGTGTTTGTGCTGTTTTGAAATATCTAAACACTGACATTAGAGTTCAGTTCATCAGTTGATCAGGCTGATTGTGGAATAAAGAATGTAGACTTATTTATTTGAATTGAATCTATCAGGTGAAGTTACTATGGCTCCCTACGTGTTGCATATACAGAAGATTACAGCCTTAGTAACAGTTACTTGGAAACTTAAATCAGAGCAGCTTCAATCAACACACTTAAGCATTCATATGGCACAATTCATACTCAGAGGTAGATTCAAGTTACTCTTCAGGGACCTTAAACACAACACAGAGACTATATGAAAATAAACCATTTTCAATCCAAAATGCACATTTTAAAACAATTAGTTAAAAAAAAATTCTCACAGAAAAACCTGCAGCCATTAAACACACTTCAAACTGTTGCCCGACAATAAAGGGAAAATATATATATTACACTAAATATTTATCGGCCTGTTTATCTTCTGGATAATAAAACACAACAGAGTGTTATATCAAATATTTGTTGAATGAATCCCTTCAGAGTGACTTCATGAATGAACATCTACATTACAACACTCCCCTCTACTGGCTCCATCTGGCTGTGATGGTTTTTGGTGAAACTGAGATCGTTACTTTTAATAATTTAAATCTCACGGTAGAATGAACAACCAAATCACTCGTGAAACTCTAAAAGATCAAATATATGAGAGGGTTTTATCAACCTCTTTTTTCATGCACTACAAAAAACTGAGTCTTGTTTTAATTTAATAATTTAAGTAAAAAATACTGTAACACACCTTGATTACTCATGAAAACATCTGGATTTATCAGTGTTGGTTTATATGTGCCATTACAAAGATATTCAAGATATGTCAATATTAATAGATTTTGCTATTTTGTGTATTAAACTATTAATACATTTAGACTAATTCTATTTTGCTCAGATATCAAATTCTGGTTAAATGTGGTAAGAAAAAGACAATCTACTTTAGTTTGTCGGTTCTTTAAGTAGCATCATTAATTAAGAGAGGATGACGTGTTTAAGATAATGAGGCTTGTTTTCATGTCCTGTTCTGTACATCTGGGGATGCTACCAGCTCCGAGAAGGTCTCACTGGTGATTTTTATTGTACTCTACTGTGGGAATAAGTACCAGGAAAGAAAGTCTCTGTGGAACAGGGGAAGTTCAGTAAGACCTCATACACACACCAACATAATGTGTGTGCGCGTGTGTGCACTGCTTTCCTCGTGAAGCTGGTTTTAATCTTGAAGCTAATATGATAAGATAAGCTAAGATAAGATAAGATAAGATAAGATAAGATAAGATAAGATAAGATAAGATAAGATATGATAAGATAAGATAAGATAATCCTTTATTTGTCCCACAATGTGGAAATGTATTAGTATGTAATATGTAACATGGAATACTTACAATATAAAAAATATAGAAAAATATGAATTGAATTAAACTAATGCAAACAGTGTAAATGTATATGTATATAAAATGATCTGTTGTTATGCATTGTATGCGCTGCATGACGATCAGAAGGAGGAATAAAACAATTGCTGCTGCAGCTGTGAAAACACTTCAGTCAGTGAAAATATTATTTCTACTTTATCATAAAAGAACTTGAATTTGTAAGTGCAATACTCAAATCTGGACCCTGGATATCCCAACTCGATGACTATTCATATTTGATTATAGTAATACAGATACATAGTGGTTAAGTTTGATTTGCAAAACAAACCAATAATTTAAGGAAGTAGTTCTTTTTGTATTTCTCATATAATGACACTGTGAACAGAAACATTAGAATATGTGTGTGTGTGTGTGTGTGTAAGAATCAAAACAGACCAAAAAAGTTGAGTAATGATGGACACCTCTGCAGAGGTTGAGGGACCAACAATATTTTTCAAACTTGTGAAAATGGCAGCAGAGGAAAGAGGAACATGCGACTGACAGTTGGTGATGTAATTTCCACATCATGTGTAACGAGGACGCACACGATGAAGTAAAGAGTTCATTTTTAGGTCAAGTGAACAAAGCAGCTGGTGAGTATTTTGGCGGTCAGAAGCTGTGATCGTCATTTCAGGTGAGTGCACAACAGCCTTGTTTGATTTGCGATAGCTCCACCCTGTCAGAGTCCATGCACAGCGTAGTGCATGAGAGTGTACTAATTGAAGTATCTGATTTCAGACGCAGCAACCGTCTCCACTGATTGAGAAAAATACCAGGATTTCCCTTGGAGCTTATATTTTTCTCGTCGATGCCTGTGGCAAGAACCACAGTGAGAACAGAGTCTGAGCATTTCCCCAAGGTCAGGATCTGGATCAGGTTTTTTTTCTGTGTGATGGAAAGAGACTACGGTAACAGGTCCCTTGAGACGATCCTGTTTAGCTGTGGCTGCATCACTGACTCCCTGTTAGGATTTACTGAACACTCACCTGTGATCGAGGAGTTTGATTTTGCAGCCTTTGTACAAAGTAAAGCCTCATTTTCTCTGATTATTGATGCATGTATCAAGTTGTCTTCAACAGTCATGCGTCGTGGGAGGACCAGGCCAAGAGAAGGTGTCTCTCAGTGATCACCTATCAGATTGTTGCTCAAGAGGCATTATAAACGCCATTTTGACCTTTTTAAAAATAGAAACAGAGATTAGAGATGTCTCTGGACACCAATGACTTCTTTTGGAGTTGACCCTGTTCTGCCACAATATAGTAAGGATACATCTCAGTTGTATTTACCAGCAAAATCCTAAACAAAACTAATTTCCAAACAGTTTCCTTGGTTAATAATGACAAAACCTTAACTCAGACAAAACTGAAAAACCCTTCTCCTATAAAGACAGGAGTTTTAAAGCAACACAGTTTTCAGCTAATGGATGGCAGAATATGTAACGACTCTGAGGCACTATACGCTCTCAGCCCTGCCGCTTCATTAATGCCGCCGAGGTACAGAAGAATGGATGGCTTGACTCAGAAATAGGCTTTATCCCCGTGAAAGTGGCTCTGTTGACGACAGTTTGGCGCAGACATGCTGCACTTCCTCCTGAATGCAGGAAGTTTGCCCCATTTATCACTCAAACCCGCACAGGCCTATAATCACGGATAGATCTGTGCTATGAAAGGCTGTAAATAATGAAAGATGCCGTCTTTACAAGTTAAAAAAGAACCACAGTGCCGTTACATAACAGCAGAATGAGTTATGAGGATGACAATTTAACCGGAGCACAGTTACATGCTGAACTCATCAACTGCAGTTAGCCAAGACAAACACAGATTTATTCTTTTTAGATGTAACCTCGGTTCTGATCACAATTATGAATGTTCTTCTGTTACCCTTAGCAACTTCAGCTTTTCTGAGCATCTCAGCTTTGTGGTTTCTGGTAAGATTCCTTTTTCTTGTATCTTGGTTTAAAACCTGCAAAAAGCAAACAGTTCCTCTCAATCTTTATTGATTTTAATATGTGTCTCTGTCACAGTTTTCTGCCTCAAAAAAAAAAAAACTTCTCCTAAAGACATGTGCTTATCCCAGTTGGAGACAGAATATGTGTCCATACTGAGAAATTGACTTCATATAGTGTTTTTCTTGTCTTTGTGTCCACATTCACTCGGTCACACGAAAATCAAACCAAGCTGAGTATGAACAATGTCTTAAAACTTTACAAATGAACACAATATGTTTTTACAGTGAAATAAAATAATGAAATAATTATTATGTCATATATGTACAGCAGAATTCGGGACTATGAATACGTCAAATAAAATATTATTATATAATAATATACATAATAATATATTCTAATTATATTATATAATATAAAACCTAGCTACTCTGATGCCAAGTAAAGAGGAGGATATCCTGATGGTATCACATCGATTGTCCTCCTACTTGTTGCGATGCTCTTGTGCCAATTGTGCACAATCATCTTTTATCCTCCTTGTTACAGTGACTTGTACAATCTGTACATGTCTGTAGAGGGGGAGCAGGATAGAGTGCACGGAGCAGAGCACACTGATTCACTACATGACAGATCAGTGGTTAAAGAGAGGGCGAAATAGCTGGAATATTGATTATCTTGTTGGCGCAGCAGGAACTAATCAATCGCATGACAGCACACGGCTGTGTACGTTTGGGTAGAGCCCGGCTTCATGAGCGTGTTACAGCCAGATGGAGGAGAGCAAAGCATCTCATTGAGAGAAAAGAAAACAAGGAGAATAAACACAGAAAGAAGTCTGTTAAAAACACAAAGGGATCAAACCAAACTGTAAAGCAGTAGGAGAGAGCTCAAAAGAAAAGTGTTTCTATGACACGGAAACAAATATGTTGACACTTCTCACTGGACAGGAAACTCCATCAGAGATGATTATAAAAGGACATGAATTGAGTGGGTTTTATTTTAGGCCCGTGTGCATCATTAAGATGTGTGCGTGTGGAGTTCGCTGAACGATGCTTGGCATGAAAGCGACCACTGCAGCATTCATTACTGATATCAACTCACTTATTCACAGCTTTATCTGACTGTGGGCTCGTCCTCATGCTTTGGGTGACTGATCGGTGAAAGCACTGAGGACGGTGCCTCGCCCAAAGGAAAACTGAGAAGATCTACATTTCAACCACATGCCTTTTGTGACAGATGGCTCCAAATATAGAAAATACAGGACCGCATAGAAACCATGAACGATCTCATAGCTGTTTTTTGTTTTTTAATAGAGGGGGGGGGGGCGGGTGAAGTCCCTGTGGTGAAACGAAGACCATTAAATTCATTAAAC